ATGCAACACAGGGTTCCTTGTCAACACAGTTCTCTAGCATCCTTTGCAATGCAAGAATTGAAGAATGCAATAATTACCGAGGCTCAGGAGGTCAGCATCACTAAGAAAACGGGTCACCTTCATTTGACCTTTGACCCAGGAAGCAAGCGAAGCAAGCAGACGGTCAACACTCATAACAGTGCCGTTGTATGCTCGTAGAAGAAAAAAAAAAAAAAAATTGGATAATTTCACAACGTTGTTCAAATGTACTTATTGTAGAACTAGAAATGAAACTGACATTGAGGGAGACACAATAGACCTAGATAAGGACATTTGGAAGCAAAGACAGGAGAATGCAAATTCATTATCACAAGCGGGTTGTTGTTGTTGTATTTTCTTTTTTTTCAATTTTGACCAAAATGCCAAATATTTCAGACTGGTAACTTCAGTGTACTTAAGTGAAACGTGTAAATATTTCCATGTTGTATACAAATAATTCAGTGACATGTGTTAATATTTTGACTGAAATGTCTAAACTTAGTCACTTCTTGAGAAAAAGAGAAAGAAAATGAGATACAGCGGATTGGAAAATCTTTTATATATATATCTATTTTTCCCTTTATTTATTTGAGGAAAACAAACAGTGAAAATAAGAAATGAAATAACAAAGACAATAAAACTTGAGAAAGATAATAATTCAACACTATTTTCAGCCAATTACTGGCGAGTAAGTTAACCTAATGCGCACAAAGCTAATTCTTAGATTATTGAATTTAGTGACAAAAGAGAAGAAATAACAATGTATATGTATATTTAAAGATGATAATAATAATAATAATAATACTGTTTTACCCCATAGCATTCACATTAGTGGAACTTATAAATTCCCTTCTATTCGTTCCCTGTTTCGTAACAGATTTGTGTAAAGATTATCTTCCGACCCCCCCCCCCCCCTCCCCCTCCCCCCCCCTCCTCCTTTCCCTCCCTCTCTCCCTTCCCTCTCCCTCTCTCCCCTCTCTCCCCCTGCTTCCCTTCCCCTCTCACACACCGATGAATAGGGTAATATAATAAAATAAAAGACTTTTTTTTCTTAATTGATCACTAACGAAATTTTGATCTGCGAATACGCGTGAAAGATGATGAATAACGTTATAGACTGATTCGAAGTGCAAGTTCAACAAAAAATGGAATTATTCACGAGGCAAAGAAAACGGAAATGATGACGTCAGAGCGTGGGAGACACCGGGGGGAGGGACTTACGTAATGAGGTGATTTCGTATTCGGGAAGCTGTGTGAAGGAATGGTCAGCGGAGGCTGTTCTCGTCTCCTCTCTTGTCTGTCTGCGTCTTTGTCTGTCTGTCTCTTAAGTGTCTACTCGCTGTTTCTCCTTTGTTTGGGGACGGGTCTCGGTGCATCTTGTTCCTGTGAGTTTGTTTATCTGGATGTCCGTCTCTCTCTTTCTGTCTCTCTTTCTCTATTCCATCCATCCTCCCCCTCCTTCTCTACCCCTCTCCACCTTTTCCCTCCCCAACCTCCCTTCCTCCCTCCTTCCCTCTCCCTCTCCTTCCCTTCTTCCCTCCCTCACCCCCCCCTCTCATCAGCCTCTCGATTTCCTTCGGGAGGTCGGTAGGCCTACGTAGGCCTATGAGAGAGGAAAAGGTCGCGGTGAGAGGCCGATGGCGCCCACTGGCCTTTGTTCTCGCCCTCTCCTCTGCTCTCTGATTCTCACCCTGTTCGTCGTGTTCTGCATCTCCTTTCGTTAGGGTTTTGTTCTTTTCCTGGTTTTCTATCCTTTCTATCTCGTTGGTCTTTTCTGCTTTTTCTTTCGCTTTGCTCTCTTCCAGATCCTTTATCCATCTTCATCGTCACCTTCTTCTTAATCTTCTTTCTCCTTCTTCTTCCGTTTGTTCTTAATCTTTCTTAATTTTTCAGCTTCTCTAAATGTTCAACTTAAAACTCATCTGTTTCTTTTCCCTTTTATCCTCCATTCACTAATTCCCTTAGGTTATCGTTCTTTCTCCTATTCTTCATTCCATTTCTCTATCCCTCCTTCGCGTAGGCAACGTTTGTGTAAATAAAGACAACAAGGTAATTAAAGAAAAGAGAAAATGACGCTGGCGCGGAATTTGTTTAGAACGTATCCAAGAAATCGAGATGCGGCGCGAGTTTGGTTCTCTAAGCGATCTCCAGCGTGGCTTGGATGTGTCTTTATGCAATTCGCCATCTCCTTGCGTGAATTTCTCATAAAACAAAGAAATAAACAACATTCAGTCATACAGGAAGTTTCTTTGGGCAGAAATGCGATGGTTGATATTATTATTTATATTATTATGTACTTTCAGAAATTGGTTATTGTTTTCGTGACGATGCAGAAAATATTAATGTACCTTGGGAGTATTTTTTGTGAGTAATAACATTTAAATCTTGATTACTTAGTACTTACTATTAAGTTGATATTGTTAATTTATGTTGTTACTGAATAAAAAAAAAAAAAAAAAAAAAAAAAAAAAAAAAACAAATT